GTTGCATGGGTTCAAATACAAATCACCTTCATCCAGTCCTTGCCCAGGACAGCAGAGCTGGGTGGGGGTCATTTTTGCTAGTAGTCCTGTTGTTATGTCACCTTTTCATCTTCCAAGACTGTGACAATGTACTGGGGGCTCCCCACTGCTTTTAGCTGTTACTAGTCTCTCACAGTAAAACCAAGGACCTCAACTGCTGCCTAGACATGGTCAAGACATGAAGCTTTTTCTATGTAACACTTCTGTTTTCTGAGAAACTGTATGTGCTATTCTAAAAATAAAATATAATTGAAACTTTGTTAAAGCTTTCAGGTTACTTAGTCCCTTCTGGTTTAAAACAAGGTCCTCTAGATAAAATGGGGTTGATTCAGGATTCTTTCCACTTCTCTTTTTCCAATTCTTCCCTCCAGGATCTAGGTGTCTAGCCTGCTGTACTTTATTTGTCTCATCCTCCAGTTGAGATTTCACCTCTTACTTTAGCCCCAGCTCAGCGCTGCCCACCCAGTGGCCTCTGTGACAGCCTCCCCCTACTACCCCACAGGTATCCTGATTCTTAATGCCAAGCTCTCTTCCTTACTGTCTTTAGGAATCAGCAACTTTTCCAGACCCCTCCGTTCCCACTCAGTCAAGGGGGTTATAATGGGTGCTATGGTCTGAATGTTTGCATCCCCACAAATATGTATGTTGAAATCCTCAAAGTGGGATTTGAGGATGAAGAGGTAGGGCCCATGGCAGGTGGTCAAGTCAGCCCTACAAAGGTGGCATTGACACCTTTATCCCAGAGGCCTGACAGAGCTTAATCATCCCTTCCTTTGCAAGGACCCATAAAAGGTGCTATCTATGAGGAATGGACTCTCATCACACACCAAATCTGCTAGCCTTGATCTTAGCCTTCACAGCCACCAGAACCCAGGAAAATGAATTTCTAGGGTTAGAAGCCATCTCATCTACAGCATTTCATCACAACAGCTAAACAGACTAAGACACCTGGGACGCAGGGAGAGGTCATCAGTCTCTCTCTGGCTAAACAGGCCACTCTGTGGTCTACTGTCCTGAGAGGAGACATGGGAGCTATCTTGCAGGGGATCAGACAGGAGCTTCTCTGATCCGGGACTCTCAGACCTGCCTGGATCTCTGTTCAGAACCTTCTCCCTGTGCTTCAGAGAGTTTTCAAGGTCTGGGAAGCTGCAGAACAGAAATAGGCCCCACTCATGGCCCTGCTCTCTGGATATCTTTAGCTCTCTCTCTACTTCTTCCAAGAACTTTCCCCCTTTCCTCTGTAGCCTGATCACGTATCCAGCAAACTACTACCCTGTGGCTTAGAGTCATGTCTCTAACTGTGGGTGTGCGTCACCTGGAGGGCTCCTTGCAGCACAAGCTGCTGGCCTACTACCAGAGCTCCTGGTTCATTAGGTGTAGAACAAGGATCCTTCACCAAGATCACGGCTTGCTTATACCCAGTCCCACAAACATGCTACCTTGTCTGACAAAAGAGGCTTTGCAGATGTGGCTAAGTTAAGAATTTTTTTGTTCCCTGAATTAAGAATCTTGATATGAGACTACCCAGGATTATCTGGGTGGGTCCAGAGTAACCAGAAGAGTTCTTATAAAAGGGAAGCAGGAGGATCAGCATTAAGAGTGTGATAATGAAAACAGAGGCCAGAGCGATGCAGCCACAAGCACAGGCTTGCAGGACTTCGGAAGCTGGAAATGGCAACAAATGGATTCCCCATAGAACCTCCAGAAGGGACACGGCTTTGCTGACCACTTAATTTTGCCTTCAGAAATATAAGGGAGTATATTTATGTTGGGTTAAGATACTAGATGTTAAAAAAAAAAGATGCTAGGTGTTGTAGCAGCCACAGCAACCTCATACCAGACTAGGGTGGCTCCAGACAATCTGCATCTCTAACAGGTTCTGAGGTCAAGAGGATGCTTCAGGTCCAAGGACCACACTTTGAGAGCCACTGGCTTTTGGTAAAATACACAATCTTCAGTTTTCTCCTAAATTTTGGACTGCAAGTTACACATATCTTTTGCTCTCTCAACAGCACCTGAATCATGTAACTAGCAGCTTTGGCTTTGACAATACATATCTCCAGAAAGTGCCTGTTATGGTAACTGACACATCTTGATTTTTTTTCACCTGTTCTGCCTGGAAGCAATGATGGAGAACACTGGACAGTCAACATGGCCGGCCATTAAGATGTACTGTTCGTGTTTCAAAAAATATTTGTTATACCATTTTGTCATTATTTTCAGAGTGTTGTCATTTAATCTCCTTCCAGAAGATCTGTATGAAAAATAAAAAAGGGCCTCCATGTTCTAGACATGAAACAGGACAAAGGGAGGTCTGCAGTGAACAAGGTGTCCTGGTACTCTCTGGGGAGCCTCTGCTTACAGCTTGCCTCTTTGCCACATCCAGCTGAACTTGTCACACCTCTATCAGTATCTGATATTGCACCCTTCAATCAGCCAGGTTCCTCTGGGTAATCATTCTGGCTTTTCCAGACTGGGATACTCAAGGGGCCTAAACCAGTCATCTTCTTGCCTTGGGTCTGCAAAGAGGGCTCTGGGTCCCTGCTTGAGAAGAGTCTCCATCCAATTATAACCAGGGCTTCTGGTAGAAGAAGGAAGAGAAGGTACACAGAGCCCTGTTGATTTGCAATGAATGCAGCACCTTGGATACAGTAGTTATGGAATATCAATGCACAGTGAGAAAGATGTTGGGCATCACCCCTGCCATTTCCTCTCCCTCTTCCTTTGCCCCATCTTTCTCTGTCTCTCTCCTCCTCCTCTCTCAGCGGGCAGTGGAGCTCCTCCTGGGTATGAATTTCAGCTTGCTGTTCACTAGCTGTGTGACAATGAACTTCCCTGGTCTTTCATAGCCCTACCTATTAAATAGGGGTCAAGACCCCTTCCTCAGTTCTGGAACGAGACCTGGAGGATAGAGCACAAGCATGCCTCATTTTATTGAGCTCTCCTTCACTGCACTTCATGGAAATTGCATTTTTAGGAATTGAAGGTTGGTGGCCACCCCGTGTCAATCAAATCTATGGGTTGCGCTCACTTTGTGTCTCTGCATCACATTGTGGAAATTCTAGCAATATTTCAAACTTTTTTTTATCACTATTATATCTTGTTATGATCTGTGATATTTGATGTTGCCATTGTCATCGGTTTGGGGCAACACAGGCCGTGCCCACACACAGCGAACTGACAAATGTCGCCTGAGCTCTGACTGCTCTACTGGCTGGCTATTTCCCGCATCTCTTTTCCTCGGGCCTCCCTACTCCTCGACACACAGCAGCATGGAAATGAGACCAAGCAACAGCCTATGATGACTTCTCAGTGTCAAAGTGAGAGGAAGAGTCTTTTGATTCCTTTAAATCAAAAGCTAGGAATGGTTAAGCTCAGCAAGAAGGCCCGGGGAAAGCTGAGGCAGGCTGGAAGCCAGGCCTCTCGTGTCAAGTTGGGATGCAAAAGAAAAGTGCTTGAAGGAAGTGAAAAGTGCCACATGACTGATAAGAAAGCAGAAAGGCCTGCTGCTAGGCTAGAGAAAGTTTCAGTGGCCTGGACAGAGGGTAGCACCAGCCATGGTGCTCCCTTAAGCCAGAGCCTAAGCCAGAGCCAGCTCTCTCATTCCAGGAAGATGGAGGGAGGTGAGGGAGCTGCAGGAAAGGCTGGAGCTAGCAGAGGTTGGCTCCTGGGGTTTAAGGGAAGAAGCCATCTCCACAGCTGCACTCTGTACTCAGTGTGGACGAAACAGCTTTTCCTTGGAAGAAGATGCCATCTAGGACTTTCACAGCTAAAGGGAAAAGCTTCAGAGGACAGGCTGACTCTCTTGTTAGGGCTAATGTAGCTGGTGATCTTAAGTTGAAGCCACTGTTCATTTACCCTCCCAGAACCCCTATGCCCTTTAAGCAGGTTACTAAACCAACTGGGCCCGAGCTCAGTAAATGGAATAACAAAGTCTGAGGACACATGTATTCACAATGTGGTTTACTGGGAAATTTTTATGTCTGCTGTTGAGAACTACTGATCAGGGGGAAAAAAAGGTTCATTTCAAAATATCACCACTCATTGACAGTGCACCTGGCCACCCAAGGGCATGTACAAAGACATTAATGTTGATTTCCTGCTGGTGGATGCAGCATTCATTCTGCAGCTCACGGATCAAGGAGTAATTTTAATGTTCAAGCCATATTATTTAAGAAATACATTTTGTAAGGCTGTGGCTGCCATGGATAGTGATTCTTCTAAAGGACGTGGATAAACCTCCTGGAAAAGATTCACCATTGAAGGTGACATTAAGGACATTCTTGGTTCATAGGAGGAGGTCAAAATATCAACATGAACAGGAGTTTGGAAGAAGTTGCTGCCAATGCCCAGGGATGACTTCGAGGGGTTCAAGAATTCAGTGGCAGAAGAAACTGCAGATGTGAAAAATAGAGAACTAAGATTAGAAAAAGCCTGAAGAGGTGACAGAATTGCCACCATCTCACTGTCTTAAGAAACTGCCACCAGCATCCCAACTTCCAGCAGTCACCACCCTGATCAGGCAGTAGCCAGCAACGTGGAGGCAAGACCATCCAAGGCCAGAAAGGACTTTCTTTGACTTGCCCAAGGCTCAGGTGATTGGTAATTTTTTTAAGCAATAAATATTTCTAACTAAGGTAAGGACTTTTTATACATCAAGCTCTTGCACACATAATAAACTAAGTATGGGGCAAACATAACTTTGACATCCACTGGGAAACCAAAACCCTCGTGTGACTTGCTTTATTGCTGCATTCACTTTACTGAGTGTCTGAAACCCATCCGCAGTTATCTCTGAGGTAGCCTGTATCCGAAACAATCCAGGGCATGGCAGGTACCAGGTGTTCTCTGCGGGGTTGTTTCTCGCCAACTCCAAGCCCACCAACACACTTGGAGGGCATGGAAAGCAGGAAATGGCTTTAATGGGAAGCGCACAGTTTTGCTTTCATTCTGCCCTTGTTCTACTTAGGCGTGCTTAGAGCTCTGGGCATGCCCTTTCTTTGGGTATTTTGTTTTTTCTCAAAATAATCAAGGAAGCTGGTAGGGAAAAAGAAAGCAATATTGAGAAACAGGGAAGTCAGTTTCCCGGGTGCATAAAAGGCAGAGGGGCTCTTGGCGGAGACAGCATGCTCCACGTCGCGGATCACCGGGGTGATGTCCGAGGTGGAGAAGATTCCTATCCCACGGAGGAAATTCTTCTGCTGGAGGATGTAATCCCGGCCGTAGTCCTCCTGCAGCTCTGGGGGCAGGTGGTCCAGGATAACCTTCTCTTTCTGGTCCCAGCTCTCACTTGTGCCCGCTATATCTGGGACACAAGAAGAAAGGGAGGGTCAGGGGCCAGGACCTGGCTGAGCCGGGGAAGCAGCTGCGTGTAGAATTGGCCTCTGTCGGGAAGGACGGGAGGACCGACATGCACAAAAGCCATTCCAAATAGTGCTTCCTAAGGGCGTTCGTTGTTGTTGTTGTTGAATGTATATATTTTAGTCGTAGTGAACTCAATATCTGTATTTTATTTTTATGTGGTACTCAGGAGCGAGCCCAGCGCCTCTCGCGTGCTAGGCGAGAGCTCTGTCCCTGAGCCTCAACCTCAGCCGCTCTGGTTGGCTTTTAACCAACATACAGAGCACTCGTGATTGGGTTTTTGCAAACTTAATAATCCACAGAATCAGCGACCAGACCAAGAGTAGAACAGGACCCGACTCGAGGTCTGTCCTTCAGTCCTCCGTCCCTTCCCAGCGGCTACTGTCCCCACGGACAGGCAGGTTCATTTTGCCTGGGTTTGAACCCTGTATAAATGCAGTCCAGTAGACGGCCACAAGGATGTGTGTCGTTTCTACTTCACACTCTTACAAAAAACAGCTGACACGAACATTCTAGCACATGTCTTTGGTGACTACTACATATAATATGTCTACAAGATAACATATATTACATATAACCTATTTTTGTCAGTATACCTGCACCTATGTAGTATACATATATAATTTGTTAAATACAGAAGTAACACCTATCTCTAGTTAAAAATATACAACTTAAAATATCATATCTCTATATATTTTTAAATGCAGATTAAATTTAATGTTAATATAACTTAAATGTGGATTTAAGTTTTAACATAAATTACATATGATTAAGTATAAATGTATTTTTAATATAGAGACAATGACAGCTTGTTATATAAAAATTAAATAATATATATTTACTCTAAAATATAACAGCAATGCCTGCTTATTTTATGATAAGGTGACTAACAGGAAGAGGTATATATTTTTAAATTGAAAGAAGGACCTGAACTCAGACACTGCACCTGGGGGGATCTGGTTGCTGCTCCTCCATCACATGGTGTGCCAAATACCCGCTCTGGGGCATAGTACTCCTAGCTCCCTCACCTGGAGAATTATGTCAATCAAAACTATGCCTTATATATTTTATAAAAAATATAAGATGGGAGTTCAAAGGCTCCCAACAGGAAGAAATGATAACTATTTAAGAAGTCGGAAATGCTAATTACCCTGATTTGCTCATTACACATCATATACACATATTGTATTATCACACTGTACCCCACAAATATGCACAATTGTTATATGCTTATTAAAAAATAAAACATATATAGAAAAGGTGGAAGTACAAATTGGAACAACATTTTAGGAAACAATTTGCCCATCAAACTGAACCTAGATAAAGTTTTGATCTAGCAGTTGTGATCACTCCTGGGCATATATCACAGGAGAATTCATGTATACCAAAGCCCCAGTTTATGTACCAGAAAGTCCAGAGATGCAGTGTCCACAATCTAGAACTGACCCAAATATCTCATCAACAATAGAAAATTTGTTGTGGCATAATCACAGAATATGCAATAAAAACAAATGAGCCACAGCTACACCCCACATAGATGAGGTGTAAAATCACAGTATTGAGTGACAGAAGGATATATGCATATTCATTCTATTCAAAGCTCAAAAACTAGTAAACCAAACTCTGTTGTTTGAGGGTACCTGGGTGGATGTAATTCTGTAAAGAAAAGCAAACAAATAACCATTAAAAGGTGCAAGAGAGTGGTTACCTCCTGGGTAACCACTTCTGGGTGCTAATGGTCTTTTTTTTTTTTTTTTATCTTAGCATTAAGTATATGAATGTTCATAATAACTGGTTAAACTATACATGTTTGTCTGCCTTTTTCCTATATATGAGATATATTTCCCCATTTAAACAATAAGATCAGCTATACCAGGAATATGTAGTGGGTGAGAAGTGGGTAGACCATGCCTGATAAGAGCAGATCCCTAGAAATATTAGGTATAATTGTTTTGCTGAATCCCTGAAAGTACAATTTACCTGCAGGGCTGTTCTCTGGTCCAAATGGAGTCTTATATCTGTGTGCCAGAATTTTTCCTGGGATTATGCAACAAACTTTAAATCGTCCTGCCAGGTGGCAAGACCCAGTCTATCATCTCCCTCCTCCACTAGCTCCAGCTGGCTTCCCTCTTTCTGTAATACCCTTTCCCTCCCAGGCCCATTGTCTGGAACACCTGGTTTCATCCTTGACCAACTCCCATTCTCCACCAACTCCCCTCAATTCTCCTCCCTCCCATGGCGTCCCCAAGTTGCAAACCCCTCCCAATGCTTCATCTTCATTCCACGTCTACCAGCTGCTCCTTCCTCTCAACCTAGATGGCCAATGTCCTTTTCTCTCCACTCTTCCTAGAACAGCCCTCTGGGTGTCTTGAGCAACCCCCATAAGCTGTGAAGTTCCCAGCTGCTAAGTGCTTCAAGCCAAAAGTCCATTCTTTCTTTTCAGAATTTATCTTTAGGCTAATATTCGAAGCTTTAGGGCTTATTCTTGTTGTGTTAGTAGAGCCTCCTAATATTTGGTCTTTAGTTACAGATACATTTTACATCTTCACTGAAATTACCGATTAAAATTTTGATGACCCAAAAAAGGACTGGGCCTTGAGGTGGTCTGTCTCTGCTCAGAGTTCAGAAGTTCCAGGAGGAGAGAGGTGAGAATGAAAATCTCCAGGAGTCAGGGGAGGCGGGTCTTTTTCTTTAGGAGGAGAATAACTGTTTTCCAAACACAAAGAAGTTGGAGGAATGAAACCATTTTAGCCAATGAGAATGGGGAATTAATGAATGTTACCAACATATCCACTCAGACTTCTATGGGAAAATAAGTTCTAAATCTAAATCAACAAACCTGATAAGAGGTTCATGGATAACATATTGGAAGAGAGGTTTGGGTGGTGTAGGGAAAATGATCAAAGTTGGTCAAAGTCAGTCAAGACAGTTCTTAGCCGTTTTCTCACAGGTCAAATAAAACTCAGCCCCCAGGAAGCAGGTGTGAGTCCTAGGAAGGCCCTGTTCCAAGGGACACCTGGTTTCATATCCGCATGGCCTCTGCTTGCTTATATCTTTTACGCTAACTCCAGCTGTCCAGGGAAGGAAGCAGAGAAACAACCCTATGTGAAGGAGCTTGGTACTTACCTCTCGAGTCTTAGGTGAAACCACTCATTCTGAACTCTTTGGTAGACATGGAGAGCTACAGCATGTTGGTCACACGATAACTCTGCCAAAACCCCTGCACTAAGAGACTTGGCCACCCTCTAACATAGCTTCCAGCAAGCCCTGTCCCTCAGATGACACCAGTTCCTCACTAAAATGCCTGCCTGAGGAGCCTCCAGGCTTCCAGGAAAACTATTTGATGGGTTCCTGGATCCACTTTCTTGGAGCATTTGAAAAGGTCTTTTAAGTATGAATCTGTATCTCTTGAACTCAGAAATACCTCCCTCAAGGACCTGAGAGCCATTTCTTTGAAATGGAATCACCTAGGAGGCTGAAGCTTCAGCCTCCCAGCCTCTTTGGGAGTATTGAATCCTACCTTCATTCCATTCACAGTGCCCAGCTCTTTGTACTTTACCACTTGTCTGACTCTACTGAGCCCTGCTTTCCACCCCCTTCCATCTTCCCTTCAACACACCCAAATGCCATCTGCACACATCAGAATGGAGTTTAGCTGTCATTACTACTGAGTAATATATGTTTTCACCACTTTAACTAATACCTGGCTGTGTTTATCTTTGACAACCCCAAGGTGTTCAACTCATGCCCTATCAGGCCCAGAGGACCCTCGGGCTTCCTTCCACATTGAACATCACAGGGCTCTCAGGCTCAGGCACCTACTTGTTCGGAAGCCTCCAGGTTGGATGACAGAGACTTTTACTCCCCACTTGGAAAGCTCTTGTCTCATAACTGATGAGAACATGGTTAGAGCTGCCTTCGATGAGCTGTAAGCTGCCAACTGTTGCATTGGGAACACTCCTGTGGGAGTAATGGGAGAAAAAAAAATCAAATATGATGCGTCTATTCATTCATCCAATAAATATTAAATCAGCACCTAACTGCAGGCCAAGCCTCATCACAGGATTAGTGCTCTTTTATGAAGTCCCACAAGATGGTTCACTCTCTCTCCACCACGTGAGAACACAATGAAAAGAGAGTATCTGCAAGTCAGGAAGAGGCCCTCACCAGACCCTGACCACACTGGCACCTTGACCTCACTTCCAGCATCCAGAACTGTGAGCAATGAATTTCTGTTGTTTATGCCACCCAGCCTACGGTATTTTGATATGGCAGACTGAACAGACTCATATCCAGGATGGGGAGGAATAAGAGCGATTAGGAAGGGGACAGGGATGCTTTGGGCAGAGGATACACCCATACGCTGCTTTGACTGTGGTGATGGTGTCATGGGTATAGACACTTAAAAACTTATCAAACTGTACACGTTAAATATGATCAGTTCAATGTATTCCCATTGCATTGCCCCAATTTAAAAAAGAAAGGGGAGGAGGAGGAGGAAGAGAAGCCACTGTACTTCAAAAGCCCATGGACATCCCAGCAAAAGCTAGAGAGAGTATTTTATTCATCCTCACATAATCAGGACATTTGTACAATATTCAGAAGTGGAAGGAGGAACTCCAGTGTTCCTGGCTTCTATGTTCCCACACCGCCTGGTTCTGCCAGTCTTCCCATCCTCCAGTGATTCTTACCAAATCAAATATGGAGTTTGTATGTGTGTGCATGTGTGTTTTCTCCTGACTATAGCATCTTGCAATTGATACTTTTTCCTTGCAGAGTTTCTTGTCCTTCCTCAGTTAGAGATGCTACATCCATAGGAGAAGAGCTTCTTAGTATTGAAGTCTCTTGCCTTAAGTTCTACCTCCATTCAAAAGTTAAATTTTGCAGAATGAATATTTGAATCCCTAAAACACAGCTCATACTCGCGTCTGACATTGATTAAGGCTCATTGGTTAAGGCTGACCTACATCCTTACCTCATACTCTGCCCTAGGTGGGATGGATGCTTGTTCATCTGTAGGCTTTCAGGTGCTCTAGCTAGACACCCAGAAAAAAACTGGGTTCAGCATTTGCTCTGTGACTCAGGATTCAAGCAGTGAGAGTACTGCTTCTCATAACGTGTGTGAAACAGGGAATTCACTGAAATTCAATATTGGACAATTAAAGTCTCCTAGAGACTCAAAGCTTCAGGGACATTGAAAAAAAGAAGAAGAAAGAATACTCTGAAGGCAAGCCAATTAGAATGGTGGCAGCAAACTGGTTCATCAGAAAGGGGAGGTATAACACAAACAGAGAAACACAGTGGACAAATTTGGCATGGAAAAAAATCCACAGAATAAAAAAGCTCCCGAACTTAACTAATTTAGAGGCTGCACATCAAACTGGTATTTGAAAAGTGACCTGGGTTTCTCAATTGGCAGATGGAGAGCTGAGGTGGGCGCCATCTTGAGGAGGCCACGCAGCAGCCTGCTCCTGTGGGAACCCAGGAGATCATAGCATACATTGCATTCTTCCCTGGAAAGGGCCTACTGTGTGGCCTAGGGTGTACTTAGCAGAATGTAAGTGAAACAGTACAGAGAAGATTTTATCCAGGTTTTCCAAGTCAGAGATACAGTAGGAGTGCAATTTGCTTTCCCTTTGAGTCTGGAAGTTCACGTGACCAGCTGAAGAGGGCCAGGAAGTTCACGTGACCAGCTGAATAGGTGGGCATGAACACTCAGGGACTAAGCCTGGGAGTGCCATGTCCATGGCAGCAGGGTGTGAGAGACCTGTGGAGGGCTGGCTCCACTGCCCTGAGAGGAGAATTCTTGGGAAGCTCCTGAGATCCAGATTCCCAGCAGAGATCAGCATCTGCCTGGCCCAAAGATGTGTTGATCTGATCTTTTCAGAGAAGATACCACCTAACAAACTCCCCAAGGCCTAATTAGACTAAGTTCAAGCCACTGGGTCTACTCTCTTAGAACTCTGAAGCCAACCCTGGTCTGTCTAAACAAACTCCCATCCATGGTATATCTCACTCACTCCTACCTTATACTGGTAAGAAGGGGAAGCTGAGAGCTTTTTCAACAAGAAGAAACAGAAAGAACAGTTGGTCATAGGCAGTGACCATCCATCCTCATCAACAGTTTGACCACCTCAGTGTAGACAATTCTTTGGTTATTCATGAGGAATCTTTGTGTGTGTGTGTGTGTGTGTGTGTGTGTGTGTGT